GCTAGTTTTCTACCAAATTCATGCGCTATAAAGGAGTAGTTGGCTCCAGAATCAAATAAAATTTGGGCAGACAATGTGTTTACGAGAAAGGTACATGAAGCGACATCAGCTTCATCTTTAGCAGCTTCCAGTGTCATCTGGAATGCTCTCGCCTTCGGCTTTGGCGGAATGTTGGGTCTAGTTGCTTCCTTCTTTTTCGGACAATCCCTTGAGATGTGCCCCTCCTCACCGCAACCATAGCAAACTTTCTTGGTGAAGGTGCATTCATTGGCATAGTGCCCTGGCTTTCCACATTTGTAGCATGTGGCCGCTACCTCACATTTTCCATGATGCTTCTTCTTACATTTGTCGCACCATTTGGCTTCGCCTCCACCTCCCCTCAAACCAGACTTCGAGAACTTGTTTCTCTTGTTGGACCCTGAAGTTCCATCGAACTTCCTCTTTTCACCAACATCTATCCTTTCGAGACCCTTTTCCTTCTGTTGGGCCTCCACGTTCTTAGCTGCTCGAACAACCGTTTTCAGAGTAGTTGCCATCTTGACTGTCGGGCCAAAGTCGGCAGGCAGTCCATTGGCGAACCTCTCAATCTTGGAGAGTTCCGTTGGTACTAGGTACGGAAATAACTTCATTTTCTCAGTGAACGCAGTATCATAGTCATCTATGCTCATCCTCCCCTTCTTCAAGTTTTGGAACTCATTGTTCAGATCAATCAGATCTATCTCTGAACAATATTGCACCCTTAGTTGTTCCAAGAACTCCTCCCACGACATTTTCAGGGCTTCTCCTCGTGGCATAGTATCTGCCAACAACTTCCACCATCTCAAGACTCCAGTCTTTAGTTGCCTAACTGCAAAGACAGTCTTCAGTTTGTTGCTACAGTCACAACTTTCAAATACCATCTCCATTTTGGAGATCCAATCCATAATTTCAATAGGCTTTGGGCTCCCAGAAAGACTTGGCGGTTTGGCACCCAAGAAATTATTGTACATTCGCCCATCCTTGTTGTTTCTCCTTTCCGGATCGTTCCTTCGTTCTCCTTGAGTCCCAATTTGACTCATAATGCGACTATTGTTTCCTTCCTCCGATTGCTCGGGAATCAATTCAGGTTCCTCAATAGGTATGATAGGTTCGTCCCTATTATCATGCAACATCTATCGCATCTCATCCCTTTGTTCGGTTAACATAGCCCGAATCATGGCTTGCACCCCAGCCATCGTTATTGGTTCTGGTGCTGCTGCTACAACAGATGCTTGCTCAATTACTGGCGGTTGATTCCTGTTTTCATCCGCATTTCCAACACGACTTCTTGTTCTCACCATTTTTTATCTATACACCGAATAAGGTAAATTAGATCCTCATTCACGATAGATATTCAAATCATCCTTATCACTCCACAACGTTTACATGTTAGTTCTAATATCCTAGACATACGCTTAGAATCCTACACACATAAGGTTTCCAGATCCGGTCGGCAACAGACCATAGATCCGAACAAATAATATCATACATGGAAACATATAACATTTAGCACATAAAAGCATTTTAGGCAACTTTCCTAAAATAATCTAGTGCTTGTGTCTAAAATTTAACAGACACACACCTCGCAATCTCCACTTAGCATTCTAAGTTTAAGTCTAGAAATCCTACAAATTCCTAGTTCGCTTAAACTAATGCTCTGATATCAACTGTGACATCCCCAAAATCACGGCCAGAAAAGACCGGTTTCATTTATGCTTTTAAAATAATTTCAGAGTAAATCTTTTTGATTTAAAAGAGTTGCGGAATTTGTTCCCAAAAACAAAATATGATAAAAATAATATTTATCAAAGCATTTCATCAAGAGATGCATTTTCATTATATAATCAAAACTCGGGATGTCATGTTCCGATACAGACCATAAAGCATAAACGATAACATTACAAGTCATTCAACAAATATATACATATAAAGACTTGTAAACAAAACAACTCGATGATTCATCCCTCTTATGCCCTTGCATGACTTCCTCTAATATAAATAAAACTGAGTGGGTCAGGCTTGGGAGCCTGGTGAGCATATAGGGTTTTCAATCCACAATAAATAAATTATATTTAATTTCACCAACCAATAATAACCCGATTACCCATTCCCGTTATCCTCACTTTACGTCCCTAAAGCAACATTTATCTCAAGGGACCTAATCTAGGATTTTCATCGGGATGGACATTACTGCTAAGGGGTTTCCTCAACAATAGATATCCTAAAGGCACCATGAGGGGGATAGAGTACACCGATGAACACATCGTTCACAACACCTACAGGTTATGAACCTGTTAGCGTTCCACGAGACTGTCTAGAAGGAGTTCGTGGTCGTTATCCATACTCCGCTGAATAACTAGGTCAACAACAACAACAACATCGAGGCCTCTCATCTGTTTATTACACATCAACTATCTACCCATGTTCTACCCAACATATTAGTAGATAAAAATATATATTTTTATACATAGTTTAAAAACCTGCATAGCATGCTTTCATCAATACATATTCCACATAACAGATGAGGCACACACACATAACACGTATTTCATAGAGAATAAATCAGATCTATGAGATAGAAGAGAGTGAATATACACTCACACGTATATCAACAAAATATATACACATAACACGTATTTTATATAAAATACTTCATAATATTGCGTTGGAATGAAAATGACTACACACTCACTTGATCAGAAGATGATCGGGCAGCACTACGGCTTGCAGAAGTAGTGTTTCTCCATAGATCTGGAAGATCTTCACAAAACTGGGTTCCTCGCAGGCAGAGCTTCGGCTCGGAAATCGCACTTCTCGGGATCTTCGGGGCTTCGGGACTTGCTTCGGGGCTCGGGAATATTACCGGGCCTTCGGGGTATAAACGGCACGCTAAACGAGGCAAAAGATGAGAGAAAAAGGAAGCGTTTGTGAAAGAAAGAAGTTGGCTTCGCATCCCCTTTTATAGGGCTGATCCTCGGTAGTACGTTGGGCGTACGGGAGCCTTACGCGGGGCGTACTCCTCCGGAGGCGTCACTGCGTGCGTCATCGGCCCTCTTCGTCATCGCATACGAACTCCGAACACTCGAGTGGTATGCTGGGCGTACACCAGTACGTTGGGCGAACTTCGGATGAGTCCGGTGACTCCCCTTCGGATAATATCGGATATAATAAATAAATTTAAATATTAATTATTTAATAAACTTTGAAAATTCATATATTCTTCATACGAACTCCCTTTTCGACGTTCTTTATATCCACGCGTAGGTGAGACTACGCTCTACAACTTTCGTTTAGACTCCGTCGGCTAATTTTGAATTTATATTTATTATTTATTTTTAGGAGGCCGGGATAGAAAAACTTCGTTATAAATTCATATCTTCTTCGTCCGACGTCCGTTCTCGCCTAACTTTTCATCGTTTCGCTATTAACAACGAGATATTCGATTCGCATTTAGATTGTTTCGGCTAAAAACCGTTCGATCTCAAATCGAGTACTCGGGCTGCAAACTACCAAGTCGAAACTTCAGAAAATCATAACTTCCTCATACGAAGTCAGATTTGGGCGTTCTATATATATTCGGAAACCTCGTTTCAACTACTACAACATTATCCAAAGATATCGAGTTTATTTTACACTTAAATTTTTGACGCTCATTTTATTTTTAATTAATCATATCACATAATTAAGCAATTAAGCACGAATCACATAATACTCAAATAATACGTTCTTAATATTTCAAATTGGGTTACAAAGGTTAACCTAGACTATTACATTGCTAAAAAATGATAAGCCCAGAAACACAGGCGTTACGAAGTATAAGTGGTTAATAATTGATTATGCATTAACCTATATATATATATATATATATATATATATATTTCAATTAAATTTGATTATGCCTAGGAACAAATGTATTTTTTTTAATTATAAAACCAATCAAATTTGTTTCTTAACATTAACATGCGCATTTTTTCAATCTATAAATTTTGAATTGAAAAAAATCACCATTATAAAATAACTAAATTACTTAAAGTGTTAATTAATACATTTTCTACTCCGCGACTATAAAAATACTTAATAAATATTTTTTTAACAAAATCATGCAAATACACCATATGTATAAAAAAAATTATGCCTATATAACATTTTCACGTTGCATTTTCTTAATAAATCTTATTCATGATTAACATGTTATACGGCAAAACTCTTAAAAAATGTTATAAAGAAAAAACATTAAAGAATTACTCATAATGAATTACTTGCTATGCTTTAATTCATATGATTGGTTGATATTAACATCAACTTTATAATGTGTAAAATATATATTATCGCCTTTAATACATATAAAATACATATTATTATACTGAGTCATGTTTATTTGACCTACACCCCCTCCTCACACCTATATTTTTATGGTTATTTTATTCATTATTATTTGATTTTATATGTTTAGTAATTAATATCATCTTTTCTTAATATAACTATTAATTTTTTTGCATATTCAAAAGCAAATGGAGCGAAAGGAAATATATATATATATATATATATATATATATATATATATATATATATATATATATATATATATATAATATATATATATATATATATATATATTTCCTTTCGCTCCATTTGCTTTTGAATATGCAAAAAAATTAATAGTTATATATATATATATATATATATATATATATATATATATATATGAAGATATCTAAAGTTAATTCATGATTACTTATCAAATTAATTCTAAAACTCATCACCTCCAATGTTATGTACTACTTATCAAATTAATTGATGCTAATATGTTATGATTTTTTTGCATTTATTTTTTTATTTATATAAATTTTAATCATATCAACCATGGTTTCCACGGATTATAACCTAGTATTTAATGGAAAGACGGTGTAGCAAAACAAAAGAAGCTATCCATGAGGTAATAATGATTGGAGACACTCTTAGTCTTCTCGATACTCTTAATTTAAAAGACAATATTGCCCTCTTATTTTTAGATGACAATCATATGATTTAAATTAGATCCGTTTATTTTCAAATATATAAATCTTGCATCAATCAAAGCCTCTTTCCTTTTAGTTTTATAGTGTAGGGAATGGTTATGTTTCCCATCTCCATTACCGACTTATAATCAAAAAAGTTAAAAAACCATATATCTCATTAGCGTTCTAATACTAAAAGTAAAGAGTTATTTAATAGTTGTTCGTTGAATATGATCAAGTCGACGTTTGATTTAGTAACACTCGGTCGTCATCCTCATCCTTAAGATGCATTTCAAAGGAGTCATGACCGTTGGTCAAACCAAAGCCTTTTTCTAAATATGACATCAAACAGTCTCAATATAACCAAGTCAAACTCAGCCTCTCATCAAACCTCGCAAGAGGCATATCAAACAACCCGTAGGAGTTGAACGAAAGAAAAAGCATTGACTACCCGATTTGATTTCATATAGAACTTTTACCTGTTCGGAAAAAAAATCAAAATTAGCAAAATAAATTAATAAACCAAAGAACATCAATTTTTTACAAAAGTTCAAAGTAGGTAAACCACTCCAAGTCTCCAGCTACAAAACTATCTTAAACTTACCCACTTTTGGAAATACCAACAATTTGTGTATTTTTGTAACATCAACATTCACAAATTAACATCATAATGGTCGTTGAATGGCGAAAACCTACATCATAAAACCAAAATAGCCCCAATCATTAATACCTTTTGCAATTTGTCTGCATAGTTAGTATTAACATATCACATCAAGCGAATATATTAAGTACACAAAGGGTAATGATTAGCTGTTTGCAACAGATCTTATTTTGTGTGTGCCACGTCATCCAACACCAACAGAGAAGGTGGCACACGCACACGCACACCCAGCAATGCATCCAGGTGTACAAGCCTCCAACTTTTGGGCCTGGAAAACCATCAATAATATCAACACCCAAAAAAAAAAAAAAAATTACAAGAACAAACAAACCCAATAAAATACACATCAAATAACGAAAGAGTTTGCTAAACATTTCATAATATGGCAATAAATGCTTTTTTTTTTACAATTATGTGAGGCATTCAATAAAGAATGTTTTGTTTTTGTTTTTTTTTTGTCATGTCATCTATTACGAATACTACTTGAAGAAGAAATTAAGTTTTTAAGATGAATCAAATGCTCATCATTTGATATATGGAGCGACATACGAAGATTTGTTACCATTGATTCTTTTTCCCAACTTAATGGTCCTGAAGCATGCAATGCCTCAATAGTACGCCTATACGCCTGCAACTCTAACCTATGTATCTCTGCCCCTAATCGCAACTCCTTTTTATTATCCCCAAAATACCCTCCTTCACAAACAGACTCCACATCATCACTATCATCACCTTCTTTTATGTTCTCAAATCTGTCATCAACACTGCAACTAGCAACAGAACTAGTAACACTAACTCTATCACTATCATCATCATTAGCATTAGTGTACCTTTGCTTCTTGTTTCGGGTTCCAATCACAACCCATTTGTTATTCTGCCATGATTGGCGTACACGGAGCTCTGATTTTCTTGCTTTGATCTCGATGAAAGATCCGACTAATCTTACTTGAAATAAGTTCGAGTTGAAAGATTTGGAAACGATTGCCATCTTCCATGAAAGATTGTGAAATACTTCCACTACATCACCAGGGTAGTGTTCTGAAATTTCAACTGTTGGAGGACATGGTCTGATGAATTTTCTTGATATGTGTTCTTCTTCTTCTTCTTCTTGTTGGTTTCCATGGTAGAGATCGTATCTGATTGTGTAGTTGTGTTTGTTGTAAGAAATTATTTGAGCATAACGCCATGAATGGGAAGGAGCTTTGTCTGTGTTAAGGACTTCCACTATGCTTCCTTTCTTGTATTTCATGATGCAGAAGTTTTGGTTTCTCAGAATCTGTTCAATTGGGAATTTGAAGAGTAAGTAAAATATCATTATGTGATAATCACAAGGGGGAAAAAGAAACATATTGATCATAAGGTAACAAAGCAGAAACACAAACAAACAACAAAAGTTCTTCATATTCTTGCAATACTAAAAAAATTCGAAATCTTGAAAAGAAATCAATTAAACCGGTGTTTAGATGTGGTTTTTATCCAAGTGATTTAAAATTTCCGAGAATTGAGAGTCTTAATAACATCGTAACAAACACACATACACAGATATAACAGACGTAATCGTGTTAGCGTGATCTCGAAAACGAAAAGGAAAAGCACGAACATGATAACGAACTCTAAATCGCTAATCAACATCAAATGCCATTACAATTTCGCAGAAAGAAAGTTCAATCGAGCAGAAAATAACCAAGAAGATGAAGCTAATAACTAACAAATCAATAACAATTTACAATCATTCAACGGAGCATTAAAAATTATCTAACACCGACGTCGTCGGTCGAAATCCTAAAATTAAAGAAAGCAGATAACAGATTGATGAATGAAATCACTAACCTTTTGAGATCGAGAAGTTCGATTTCAGAGTATTGATCGGAGTTGTGGTTTCAATTTGTTGGAGGAAACAAAAGGAGGTTTCCAACTGCACAAGAATTATGAAGGAAGAATACCTTGTTGAGGAAATTGGTATTCTTGTTATTATACGCTTTTCATGTATACTACGCATCTTCCTCTCCTTTATGCTTTTATATTTTGGTTTTACCCTTTTGGGCCGATTTAGAATATTAAACAAAACATAAATGGAAAGTGATGATACTATATTTTCCTTCTTTATACGTTGGATTTTTGTAAACATGAGATGTACCATTGTACGTGACTTTTTATGTTAAAATCATATGCAAATATGTCAAACTAGAGAAAATCACAACTTTTGTTCAACTTGATAGTTTGATGTTGTTCAATTTGCAAGTTTAATTGAATAATTTCAATATTATTTACTAAAATGACCATTGAGTGTTTTTATATCATTGTACTGTTTTAGCTTTTCGAACTTTAATAAAACAATTAACAATCTGTCAATCACGAATTTAGAATGTAAAACCATATGGTTCATTATTTAAATGAAACCGATAAAAAATAAAATAAAAAATAAGCTTTGAAAATTTTGATTTATACAAATCATAAAGTGTAATACAATCCATCATAAATACATTAATACTAATAATAAATTTTAATAGGTTTTATAAAACATTATAGTTAAGGATAAATTAGTTAAATTCAAAAATAAATAAATAAATAATAAATAATACATAAAAAAAAACTTAATCATTGGAGATGCTATTTAGTTTAGAGTAAAATTTTAAATGATTAATTATGTGTATATATAGATTAACCATTGAAGATTCTTTTAGATCAACATTATTGTTAGGGGTGAAATGGGTATGTATCAATTTACTTTTTCACTAAACCATATTACATTACCAATTATAGTTGGTACAAAAAAATTGTTACTATTACCGTACCAACTTGTTTGGTTACCGATAAGTTCGTTTGGTACATGTTGATAATGATATATACCAACATGTATGAGGGTTTTGTGAATGACGATTTTCGTGTTCTTAAGCATTGTGAAACTTCAATAGGGTTTTGTGAATACGAGTTTTCTAATAGTTGAGATTGAAAATTCAATCCAAAATGATTTTATTAATTTCTATCATGAGTTTATATGTTTAAACGGTGGAAGAATATTAGACACACCAATATAAGTTTAAAGCTTTAAACTTTACTAATTCAATAAATGCTAATATCAAAGCTCATAAATCATAAGCACTAAACATACTAAAATTTTCAATATATATATATATATATATATATATATATATATATATATATATATAATATATATATATATATATATATATATATATATATATAATTGGTTGGTAAGTACTACCTGTATTGAAATATTTATACCATTACCATACCATGACTTTGGGATTAGTTACTAAACATACTGGTTACCAATATTCTTGATTCGGTTTATAATATGTTGGTTGGTTTTCCGTTATATATATTTGTCGGCCCTAATTATTGCAAAATTCATGTGTGGGTGTGTGCAATTATATATATATATATATATATATATATATATATATATATATATATATATATACATATATCATTATTATATATAAAAACCTTTTTTTTCTCATGCCTTAAAAGTTAAATTCATACCGTTCCAAATAGGCCACGTAACCTGCCTTCTGATCGATACAATGTATCTAAACGTCTCTTCTTCAACGTTTCTCCTTCTCCACATTGCAAGACCCACCCGACTTAGTGGTTGTCCTTCTTCTCTAAACCATCACTCTGAATCCCTCCCTAGGTCCCTAACAAAGAATACTGATGGGTTAGTGAAAAAACAGATGTCGTCTTCAATACACCGTTTCCCAACGTTTCCACCGCTTTCAGAAACGATGCATCGTTTCCTGGTACATCACATCCATTAAAACTGCCCTCCCCCCACCCCTCCTTTGTCTTTCTTTCCTTCTCTTTGTCTTCCACTACCCAGCCATCCCGCCTTCTGTTTTTCCATTTACATCTCCTTCATTCATCCTTTTAGGGTTCATTTGAGGTTGGGATTTTTATAATATTCTATTTCTTTGAATCAAAGAAAAAACTCGAACTATAATCATCTTTCACCATGAGATACACTCTTCAGCACTTCAAAGGTACAAGAACTAACTTTTGTTTTACTGCATAAACTCTAAATTGATTCCCATTTTCATTTTCTGATGGTGATTTTGGTGTAAATTCATAATCATATTCGATTTTCTTCTGTTTTATGTATTTATTTTCTTAAATAATATTTTAATGTCTTCGTTTGAAATTCCCACCTTTTGTTGATTTAATGTCATGGATATCCAAGTAATCTGAATAATTTTGAAGATGTCGACCCCTTTTGTTGTTTGCTGCCTTCTATTCATGTTTATGGGTGGTTGTTGGTCGATGTGCATTAAAATTTCAGGGGTGATTTTATGGAAAAAAATGATGGCTTATTTATCACCATTTTGGATCATATGGAGTACAAGGCACAACACTGGTGGAACCCAAACTAAGAAGAGACTGACATGAAATTAAAATTTTTCAGACAATTGGAGGTACGTTTGTTTAATTTCTTGAAAAAATTATGTTTTTTGGATCATTCTTGATGAAAGTGATTATCTTTTTTCTTTGCCGAATATGCTTAATATTCTTTGTGGGACGTGGGCTTCTTAAATCGTCAAATGAAGATGTCAAAGTGGCAGCTACAAAAAGCTCTTAATGGAATATAGATGATGAGAGTAAACCATTTTATCATCATATTTTTACTATTAAATTACTACAATTCATCAATTCACCACTTTTTGTTTCTAAAATATGGGGATTAATTCCTTGATTCTCTGACCCTAAAAAACCCAGACCAGGAGAAACATGATTTCTTGCATTGTATCTGTTAACAATAATTTACATTCGTACCTGAACTTTTTTCATCAAAGTATTATAATTTATAAACAATAATCAAGTATGCCAAAACTAAAAGTTCCCACACCTTATAATTTATATTTGTCAATATTTCATGTTTCTTCATAAGAAAATGCATTATAAGTTCAATTTATTTCAAAGTGCATCTAACTTGAGCAGGAATAAAGGCAAGACTTTATTTTTACATCCCTTTGGAATGAATCATTCCTTTCATTCTGAGACTCCATCATAGAAAAGGTTGTATTGTTGGTTGATCTGAGAGAGCCAATACGTAGCTGAGACACAACATTTAATCTCTTATGGTTTTTGTTAATGATCTAGAAACTTCTGTTAAAGGTGGTGGGAACAGAGTACCTTGTACAAGTTCAAAATGACCTTCCTGTTTTCCACGGAGACACATCAACAAAATGTAAAACTTATAGGTTCTACTTTTATGTTAAGATTGTATCGTGGAAATAACTTATTCATATGATATTTTGTTATTGTTAATTTGAGAGTCAACCACAAAAAGTCAAACAAACTAACATGAGAATCTTTTATATAGTTTGCAAGTATTTTTAAATAAGAGAGTGATCAACATATTCTGTTCAAGATCGTTAGAGACATAAATAACTTGATTGAGTTCACATTGAAGAACAAAGATATAATTGTAAAAACCGAACTAAAGGAGATTGCACAAAAGCTACTCGCAGTTAGGCTTTCCGTTTCTAGAGGTGGAAGGGGATAAACAGAAACTTATGAATGAGGAACTACCCAGATCCAACATCATGACTTTGCAAAGTTGATAATTCCAGGAAAGATGGTAAATTAAGTTGTGTGAAATCCTTTATAGCTAAGCAGGTAGCAATTTACGTTGCCAAATAAATGTATTTTCTTTATTAACTTCTAAGATTTGGAATTTAGCTTATTATTAGTTAGCCGATATATAGTTGTAGCATTTTGATCGATGTATATTGCAGATTGCAAGACTAAAATGACAGACATAACTTCGAGACTTTTTAAGGGCTTGTAAGGAAAAGGGATTCCTTATCATCATCAATGGATTTTAATTTTTTTATAGCTGCGATTAAATATTTACGTAAGGAGTAGGATAAAGTTGGGTTTTGTCGAGTGTAGTACACTAGAATTACCTGATTACTTCTTTCTTTGATTGATTTGTCATAAAAGTAAATTGATCCGAAACCGATATTAAATTTCATTATCATATATGATTTTTTTGTGACTATGACCATGTCATACTATTAATTATTGACATGACATACTATTGATTATTGAAATGGTGATAATGGCATATAATTCGATAATGGAAATGAATATAATTTTCAGCTTTGCTAAATGTTTGGTACTTTGTACGAGGTTGCTTAACTCCTGCCCTCTCATCACTATCTGTCAGAAGTCCTGTTAGTGAATATTATCTAAGAGCATGACAACACCTTCCAATCAACCACATGATTTCTTTTAATTTTTCTATCAACTAACACTTGGTTTTTCTCTGCACAGAGGTTTGTTTTTGTGTTTTCTTCTCCAACATAATACAAAATACAACATCGTATTTCCGTTTATTAAAGAGTTGCTCATAGTTGCGAAATAAGTACATAAAATTTCTTAGTAGAACGGCTATTTTGACAATCTATCCCACTTTAACATTGTGGTTTCATTTCTTCGTTATTATAACACTAAGTTTGTTAACATTCATTTTTTCTTATTAGGACATATACTTTAAAATATCTAACAAAATATAATATTTTACATTCATTTTTTAGATACCCAAAATACATTTCATGGGCAGTGCTAAGCACAGGCCTAAAAAATTACCTAGTGTATATATATATATATATATATATATATATATATATATATATATATATATATATATATATATATATATATATATATACATGTTGCCGGCTTATGCACTTGATATATTATTATATATCTCATCTCATGCATCACTTAATTGACCAAGTGTTTCTCACTTTCTCCTTTATGACAAAAATCTACGTCTAAATGATTAATGAGATTTCAACAAAGTGCTTCTTATGATTACAAAACATATTTTTCTACACGTTGATATTTTTTATCTTTCGAATTTAAGTATGATTACAAAAAAATATAAGGCCCCGGGACCTGATGGCTTCACTTTCAAATTCATGAAAAGGTACTGGGATATCATTAAAGAGGACGTGATGAAGTTTGTCATGCACTTCGAGGAAACTGGCTCATTAGCAAAGGGGTGCACTTCCTCATTCATTATTCTTGCTCCTAAGATTAAGGACCATCTTTCTCTAAACGATTACCGCCCTATTAGTCTGATCGGATGCTTATGCAAAATAATAAGTAAGCTACTATCCAACAGATTGAAGACGGTTATTAGTGACCTGATAAGTGACGTGCAGTCAGCTTATGTTGACGGAAGATGTATACTTGATGGTCCTCTCATAGTTAATGAGGTGTGTTCATGGGCTGCGAAAGCACGTAAAAAGATTCTTCTTTTTAAAGTGGATTTTGATAAAGCTTTCGACTCGGTAAATTGGCAATACCTTGATTCAACAATGGCACAAATGGGTTTTGGGAACAAATGGAGGTCGTGGATTAGGGGCTGTCTGAATTCGTCTTTAGCATCGGTGATCATCAACGGTTCGCCAACAAAAGAATTTCCGGTATCTAGGGGAGTTCGTCAAGGTGACCCTCTCTCTCCGTATCTGTTCATTATTGCTATGGAGGGTTTGAATGTGGCTCTCAAATCGGCTTGTGATAAAGGAATCTTCAAGGGTGCTCAAATCCCTGGAAATGGTCCAATCCTGTCTCACCTATTCTATGCGGATGACGCTCTGTTTATTGGGGAATGGTCTCGATCTAATTTAAAAAATTTGGCGCGTATTCTTAGATGTTTCCACATCTCTTCGGGTCTCAAAGTTAACTTTCATAAATCGAAAGTATTTGGAATCGGAGTTGACTCAACTGAATCTGCAAATTGGGCTAATCTCCTTGGGTGTGTGGCAGGGACCTTCCATTCGACTATCTTGGAGTGCCGGTTGGGGCCAATATGAATTTAAAAAAGAATTGGAAGCCAATAGTTAAGAAATTTCATTCCAGGTTATCCTTATGGAAGGCTAAATCGATATCTTTTGGGGGAAGACTCACTTTAATCCAATCGGTGCTAGGTAATCTACCTACTTATTTTTTATCCTTATTTCGAGCTCCTGCAGGTGTAATTGAAGAACTAGAAAAGTTACGTCGTACCTTCCTGTGGGGAGGTTGTGAAGACAAAAAGAAAATACATTGGGTCTCCTGGGACAAGGTCCTGGCTGCCAAAAAGGATGGGGGACTGGGAGTGGGATCCATACAAGCATTAAACATTGGTTTACTTGTGAAATGGTGGTGGAGGCTGAAGAACGAAGCACATTCTCTGTGGGCTAGAGTAATAACCGGTATACATAAATTGGCGAATAAACCGATGGAGTATTTATCTTCACAAAAATATGTTGGTGTATGGAATAATATTTCCAGCACCAAAAAATCTCTTGGCAAGCTGGGAATTGAGATTCATGATCTGTTTGGTATCAACATCAAGTCAGGGAACAATACTCTTTTTTGGTATGATCATTGGATAGGTGGTAACAGCTTAAAATCAAAATATCCCAATCTATTCGAATTGGAATCACAGAAAAGGTGTATGGTTGTAGATAGGGTTGGAGGTATGAATCACAAATGGAAGTGGAAAGTTAGACCTGCTACTCGAGGGCTCGACTCTGAAGTTAATGACCTGAATCGTGATGTCTCTAACGTTCAATTAAACTCTGGGATGGACCAATGGAGGTGTAAACTGTCATCGGATGGTATATTCTCGGTGGCAATTGTCCGACAGCTGGTAGACAAGCTGCACACGGTTTGCCCAGTTGCCCCTGTGATTACATGGAGCAAATTAGTACCGATTAAGGTTATATGTCTTGTTTGGCGAGCTGCACAGCTACGTATTCCAACTGCTACAGCCTTGGAACGGAGGGGTATTGCAGTCAGCTCAACATTATGTTGTTCATGTATTGGTAGTCCTGAATGTGCTGATCATGTGTTAATCAACTGTCCGTTTGCTCACATGATCAGGTCCTACATCTGGAGTTGGTGTGGGCTTACTAATGTGCATGATTCTATCAAAACCATTAGTGACCTGATACACTTTGCTAGCAATTGGGGTGGGAACATAAAGAAACGGCAACGATTCATTGTGATTTGCTATGGCATGCTATGGAATTTATGGAGATTTAGAAACAAAAGATTATTTCACACGGAGGGTATTTCTGTCCATAGGGGTTTGGAATGTATCAAGGTTATGACTTTCTATTGGATTAAACATAGAGGCGATAGGGGTATTTGTAGTTGGGAGGATTGGGCTACATCTCCATTTTATGATTTGTAATTTTGAATCCACTTGTATGCCTTTCTATTTTTGGTCCCTCTTCTAGTTCCTTGCTGGGGGTTCCTTTTTCTATAATATATTTTGCCGTTTCCAAAAAAAAAACAATAAAATATATACATTTTAAAAAAATAATAACATAATCTTTTAGTAAGCTAATTTTGAAGGTTGTATATATTTTAATGCACTTCACTCTACTTTCAACTCACTTTCAACTAAGCTATTTGATTTTATCTATTTAATCCATTGGAGATACTATACAACCAAAGTTGACCCATTTCATCTTTATCTAAAATTGTTTATTTAAAGTAACTTATGTATTTTTGGTAAAATTGCTTATATAGTAACAAAAACTGAATTGAAGAAAAAAATGTTTGTAATATCAATACAGTACTAAAACACAATATTGATAAGTTATTTTTTCAATATACATAAATTTTGCTTAAGAAAAAAAAACATCCTTATATATTACTGACGAAGAAAAATTAAAAACGGTATTGCTGACATATATATAAAACAAAACGACAATAAAATTAAAAACACTTTAAGTAATATTTTTTTTTATGTTTTTTCATCCAAATATTTAAAATAAAACCGCACTAAGATTAAAAATACTTTAATCATCTTTTATGTTTTTTCATCAAAATATTTAAAACAAAACCGCAATAAAATTAAAACGACACTTTAAGTAAGCAAAATCCCAAACCCCTTCAATCTATTAGAGATATTATTTAGCCAAAACCTATCATTTCCAAACAAAATAAATCAAACTGACCAACTTTATATTATCTTTTAGATAGTCATGCATAAATTTTATGATTTAACACGTATATTTGTCTATCAATATCCAAAATCCACATTTTAGAACACACAAAATGTCAACAGAACGTTTTTAAACCATGACTTGTGATTGAAATGCTTGTTGTGATGTTATCATACTTTTTGCGTTTACTCCCTTTCTTCCTTTCACATTTAACAATAAAACATCGTTTTTGTGTTGTATAATATAATATATCATAAAATCCAATAATACTCATCATTACATATTACATATTTAAAACAATCAACGTATTAAGTTGTAAGAATCCAGAAATAAATCCCGCCACGACCTTTCTTACTCTAGAAACACCATGTTACCACTTTTCTTGCTTTGAAGATATTGTGATTTACAATTTTACATTGTAATATGGTTGTCTTTGAGTACATCAATCGGATAAGAAAAGAACCAAAGAATGAAACCACAAAGAAGCAAAACAAGTGGGATGAGATGAATAGTGTTTTCCCTTGATGAGTTATAGTGTTCTTTGCTTCCATTTGGAGAGATTGGATTGTACACCGGTAAGTCATCATCCGGTGGTGGTTTGGCCGCCTTCCCTGGCGGCAATAGGTTGAGGAAATACTCATCGGAGGTGCGGAACGTGGTGGCTGATGATGATCTATGCATTCTTGATAAGATACAAGAAAGAACAAAAACGACGTTTTTATAGAGATCTTTAGAAAGTGATGAAAAATTAAAGATAGGTTCTTGAAGATTTTATAGATGAGTTAGTTTTTTTAGCATCATCACCTTTGCTTCATCCTAAAGAGTGGGGTGGGGGTTGACTTTGAAATTGAAGAGGGGAAAGGATTGGAAATGTAGTCTTGTTAAAGCATCTTCATGTGTAATCAAAGGCATATGCATGTGGTTTAATAAAATAGCCTAATATAAAAATACAAATAAAAAAATAACAATTTTGGTAACTACATGGTTAAATAGACCTAAACAGAACAGAACAAGTTGTACTGCATTTGGCGTGTATGGATCGGGGACTGATGTTACAATATTTCGTCCCTTCCAAAAACATCATGATAAGATTAAGTACTTCGCTTTCGATTTCACATCTATGCCAAAGACAAAAATACCCTCTTCGGATTAGTCAAAAAATAACCCTAAAAAACTAAGAAAAAATCAAATGCAATTACGTAACAAAAACATTTAACGCTTACAACGAATCATGGTTTTTAAATGACAAAATCAAGAAACAAACAAAATAGCATACAACATAAAATTACATGAAAAGCGACGAAACTTCCATGCTTTTGAAAAGTCAACGAACGTTGTTTCATTGAGAGACGTTAGCTTCACTCGATATAGAATTTGTTATTGACAGGTGTCAACATCTTACCGGATGACAATTTAATTTGATACGCAAGATCAACTTTCATCAACCGATGGTTTTCTTCAGAACGACTCATTGTAAAACTGATTTGGATATCATCCTTTTCGTTCACACGCACAGGTGGATGCAAAAGAAACACCTATAAATATTGCAAGATATAACAACATACTTTCATCTATTTATCATAACAAATATCACAAAATAATAATAATAAAATTTAATATTTATCATTACTAACCTGTTGTCCCCAATGTGTGACATCATCTACACTAGGAGCTGTAGTCAACTCCACCTCACACTCAGCAGGGTCCTCCTCTCTTCCCTATAACAATAATAATTATAATAACAATAAATAATAATAATAAGAAATTAAAAACAACAATAATATTAAATTTTAACATACTTTAAAATGAACATCAAACCAGCCACCAAACCCACAAAGCCTAGTGTCCTCTTTAACAATTGTTGATGAAACAACAGCTTGAACTTTGAGTATTTCTTCAACAGTTACTTTTAAACAATCAATCTCCTTTAAAATAGTAGGAGTTCCCACTACTTGATTTGGATGAAGACTATTCCAAAGGGAATTCTACACATTAAAATAAAATTATTTGGTTTTGATTTTATAAAAAAAAAAAAAAAAAAAGTATATACAAACACAAATTACAAACAAGTTTTTAAACCTGTAAGTAGTACTTCTTTTGCTCTTCAGAAAAGGGTTTTGTCAAAACACTCATATCAACACCATAATAAGATTTAGTGTCATTAACAAAACCATGCCAATCATCCATACATCCTTCATAATCACTCATTTTATGATCTGATAATCCTGATCTTATAGGCGCCAACCACATTCGCGCATGACTAGGATACCTATAAAAACAATAATTAAATAATTAAAAGCTTATTGAAAGTCTAGATATTAAAAAAATATAAAAAATTACTTACATAACTCCAGTTGGTTTCAGCCAACGATCACGAGCACAGATAACAGAGTCAAACATGGATTCACGAAGAAGAAAGTATCCCATCCACTCAGAGATGATTACATCAACTGTTGATTATTTTTCGTTATGAGAAAGGGGGTGAAATTGTAAATAATGGGTGTTGAATTGATGTTTTTGAAACGAACCTTTTTCAGGTAATGTTATATCTTCTATTGAACCTTCGATGACTTCAACAATACCATGGAGGTTGTTTGCTTTAACAAGCTCACGAGCATGATCGGCCATTTTTGTAGCTTCCACTGCATACACTTTCTTTGCACCTGCTTGAGCTGACCAAATTGCTAAAATGCCACTCCCTGTTCCTACATCCAACACAGTCTTCACCATGGAATCAACGGTTTAGTTTTGGTGTTTCGGTGAGATTACTTATTTACTTTGATTGTGATTACGATATGAAGGAATCGACATTCAAGATTCTGAATTGCTACCCAATCATATATAATTTCAAGATATGAATCCTAGCAAGGTCTTTTGAACCTCGAAGCAGAACAACAGACAATAAGTTCTATTTGTGCATAATAGAAAGCAGACAAGTACTTCACTCGTCAAAATTGCATCGCATGGCATGATTCTAAAGCAGTATAAGACGATTATTTAAATGCCTTGAATGCAATAATGACGATAAGAGAACTGCGCAAGAAAATTTAATATGAAACACTTAGAAGAATGTATTAGACGCAAAGATACTTACTTTTCCGATGAAGTGGTGTTTGTTCTTGAAAACAGAGTTGTAATAAGCGTCCATTCGAACGCGGTCAGAGAGCATTTCTTTCTGGTGGTAGAGAAAGGCGTATGTGCAGAAATAATTGGCGAAATCGACCCCCTTGTCGACGGAAGCGCTGCCGTTGCTGGTGGATGTATCCATATCCACGGCGGCACCGTTGGCTGCACTTCCCATTTGTTTAAGGTCCGGTTGCGGAATTATGGAGGGAGAGAAAGAGACAGCGATTTGGAAAATTGTTGAAAGAGGGAAGATGTATATGTGATTCTTCATATTAGGGCACAAGGGTGTAGGCCCACTGCCACGTCAGCCCTTCGTTTCGTTTAATTTGATGCCTATTCGCCTAATATTAACGTAACGAGAATTACTAATATTTATGTAATAAAATGTATAAAAAAAATATCAAAGCTAGGGTTTTGCCAATTCAAACAAAGGAAAATAACACCGCAATAAATTTTATGTTTTGTCTTGATTTAATCACTATTATTATTATTATTATTATTATTATTATTTATTTATTTATTTATTTTTTTTTTTTTGTATAACATATTTAAATAGAGATGCAACTCGAAAGTTATCGGTTTCTGGGTGAAATTGAAGTTGGTTTGTCTATTTAGAATCCAAATAGATAATTCTTTAATTTCAACTAGTTTTTTTTTTTTTTTTTTTTAAATAAATATTTCCCAAACACCATAGTTCTTCAAAATTTGCACCTATAGAAAAATTTCTAATCGTTGATGTCATCTTCTTCACCCAAACCTCATTTGTGGGTTGTGGTCAAGAACGATTGATTATCACCGTCTCTTCCAAAACCCTAACAATCACCTCTGTGGCTTATTAGGAAATTGGAACAGAATATACAACAAATGGTCAGGCTTCATTCAATCGATTATACAACACAGGTCGATGCTTTTGTCTTCGTGTTATTGTATTTCACTACAAATATTAAGTTTACGAACCCTAATCGGATAGCACTGCGGATTTTACATGAGCACAGTTTAAAGAGTAGGGATGTAGAGATTTGGTTCCAGCGGAGGACATCAAAATCAGTGTCAATACTCCCCATTTGATAACTTCATCGACACTGATTTCAACAATAGATGACTTCAATCAGCTGGACTTCATCATCTCTACTAATCTTTCAAAAAAAATCGATATATTTAGTGAGAAAAGCATTTCAACAAATATGATTGGTATTCAATGAATCTGTAACACTCGAATCGCAGGTAAAGTCTTTTAAAGCTAATTCGTATATTTTAATTTTGATAAGAAGGTCATATATGGGGTGTAACCAAGTGCTATGCGGGCGTAGTTCGTTAAAGGTGGCATCGGGGGTTCTCTTGAGTATGTAGGGCGTAGCTGGAGTACGTCAAGTGTACTCATGGCGAATGCAAACCCTAATTTTAGGGTCTTGGACCCTATAAAACCTCATTATCTCCCTTGAGGTTAGCCTTATCCTCAGCCACATCCTCTGAAGCAGTCCCCTAGAAACCCTAACCCCATTTGTGAGATTCTTGAGCCCTTTGAGTATTTTGTGTGTTTTTGGTGCATAGTGAATAAGAAGGAGCTCATTGGAGAAGTGTTGATTAGCTTGGAGCTTGTATATCTAGATTCTACTATTCTTCATCATCTTCCAGAAGGTATAAAGACTCAACATTTATGATTCATTGCTTAGATCTAGTTTAGCTTAGGGTTTTGGCATATTTTGGTCCCATGGATTGATTCTTGTGAGTAAAAGTTAATTCATAAGCTTAGATTAGCATTTTTTTTTTGAAGTTTTTGAGGTTCCTAGTGCATAAAAATTGTATCTTGATGGATTTGGTTCAGCCATGCAAGAGTTGTTATTCATAATATGAAGTTGGAAGGTTAAAGTTAGAAGAGATTAGAACGTAGATCTAGCAATTTGAACCCATAAAGATTGGATCTCGAACACTTACAATGGTTCAAAATGTGCACAATATGATGATGATGAAGTCTCCTTGTTGGACCACCACTCTAGGGCCTTTTCTTCTTCTTCTTCTTCTAGCCACCAAATCACCAAGAATGGATCCAAAACCACCAAATGGGTTAGGGCTAGGGTTTTCTGAGTTTTGGGAGGGTGGAGGCTGAGAAATGAACCCTAAAACCAAATTCAGGTGGCATAATACATAGGAAACCCTAAAACTTCGTGAGCTTGGGCTACATCTTTCTTCACATCGTGAGCTCTTATTGCTTACGTCGTGAGCCTAGACTGAGATGAAATCTTCACGCAACCCTCCTCACGTCGTGAGAATCTATGCCTCACGTCGTGAGGACCCCTTCTCCTCCAAAAATCAAATCTTTAATCATCCCAAAATCCTAATTCGAAACACCCAAGGAGACAGATGTTACAGTGTTAAGGGTTAAAAAGGAAAGAAAAACCATATTTTCGGAACCAGACACGCTCTCCCTCACTCTCACGCCAAGTGTTAGCTCCTCATTGGTTGGGTTTTTTTCCACCTATTTGTTTTTTGGCCATAACTTTTTTTTTCTATGAATTTTTTTTTTTGAAAATACCAAATTTTTAAAATTTAATTCTCTATAAAATGAGTATACTCATGATTTTTTTATATTCATAAAAAAAACCCCAGAAAAAAATTCTCCAAAAATTATAAAAATGTAATGAACACTTCTACTCACTACTATCATGACTTTGTAGATTTTTTTTAAATAAGTTGTTTTAGAAAGCAAACTTGATTTTAAAAAAATTATATTTAAAAAAAATGATGAACATAATATGATCCAAATAAAGATGATTCAAAATATTTATGATTCAATTCCAAAATATTATTATTTAATATGTTTATGATCTTTAACTTGTTATGGTTTAAATATATTTGATTCAAATATTTAATGATTCTTACTTATTATATTTGTTTATGATTTCAAATTAAATGATTCAAAAAATATAACTATCAGAATGTTGTATTGAACAAACACTTCATTCAAATCAGTATATTATGATCCAAATCAATTTGATCCAAAAATATATGATGCATAATATCGTTATGATTCAAAATACTGTGATTCAAAATTTTATGATCCAAAAATAATATGATTATAAAAAAGTACGAATTGAAAATATTATGATACTTAATATTCTTCTTATTTAAAATTTTATAATTCTTAAACATTAAAAACCCAAACCAATATTTAGTTTAAAAAAATAAAAATAAAATAAAAAAGAAACAAAAAAGAAAACGAAAAAGAAAAAGAAAAAGAAAAAAACCCTACTATATTCAAGTATGTAGTAAAGATATCAAAAAAACCAAAAAAGGAAAAAAAAATAACTTTTAAAAAGAAACAAAAAAACAAAAAAAAAAGTTAAAAATGTTAAAACCGAACATATATTTATTTAAAAAAAAAAAAGTTTTCTTGATTTTTTTTAACAAAAATAGAAAATAATAATAAAAAAACCAAAATAAATGAAAATTTCATTTAAATGATGTTTCATAAACGTTCGTCGCATATGATTATTCCCTCGAGTCTGTATTACGTTCCAGACACATGCCTCGTGTGCGAACGCGTCACGACAAAGTAAATGGTTTTGACGTTTATGTCGTTGACAATTTTATTGGTGGAGAAAAATTATCGCGGTTCCTACCAATTTTTGGGTTCTTACCGGATTCGGAGTGTATATATATATATATATATATATATATATATATATATATATATATATATATATATATATATATATATATATATATATATATGTGGGTTCAATTGAGAAAATAAAAAAGGTTGAAAATGAGGGAATCATTCTCAGCCACTCATTTAATCTAAGCATAAAAGACACGGTGGCAAACTTGTAAATATCGTAATAACCTTCAATCTCAAATACGTAACTATAGAGAATTCGATAACTATTCATTCATCATCAAAAAAATTTCTCCAATCTTCAATAATCATCCAGGTTTCTTCAACTAAACCGGAATTTCTTCGTTGTTCATGAAATTGGAATCAGAGTTTTGGACTCGCAGTCATAGTCAACATTGAGGGACTTAGAATCGGTAATCACAGGTTCCCAATCGGATTTTCGGAAATCAAAATCAAATTGAGAAATCGACTAGAGATAGGATGTCGCATCTGAAGTCGAAATCAGAAGTATATGATAATTTGGAACTGATAACTTGATGTTTTTAACATTTTTAATATAGTTAACGTGTTTGCACTCCAACTGTTTGATGAAATGCAGAAACTAAATTACGCCGTTATATTCACATATGAATATGTTTTCTCACCTGAATCAGTATATGATTATTAAAAACACAAAACAAATATGCAAGTATGTATGTTATTCATATGTGAATAACATATAAAAGTTATATATATTTGTCAAAATACTTTCAATATTCATAAGTGAATATACCTTGTAATATTCATATGTGAATATACTATGTAATATTCATAAGTGAATATATCATATAATATTCACAAGTGAATACACTCTCTAATATTCACATGTAATATACCATATAATACTATGTAATATTCACATATGAAATATCATTTAATACTCATAAGTGAATATACCATCTAATATTCACAAGTGAATATACTATGTTAATATTCATAAGTGAATTTATCATCCGATATTAAAATATGAATATACTATGTTTATTATATGCTATATTCATATATGAATGATACTTAAATTATAAAAAAAAAATTATATTTTTTATTCATAAGTGAATAACGAATGTATTGTAATAAAATCTAATCCATTGTTATTCATTTATGAATAACGATAGCTAAAAATATAAAAAAAAATAATTTTTCTTATTTTATCTTAAAACTATATCAATATGGATGTCTATTTGTAGAGAATAAAAAATCATGAATTTTGGTATATTTAAAATCAGTTTTTGATAAAAATAGCTTATAAAATAAAAAAAAAACGAAAAAACTATGTTTTTGTATATATTAAGGTAATGATTAGCATAGTTTAAGGAAATATGTTATGTTGGAAAACACATGTGCATTCGTTTCCCATTTCCGCCGGTACGTTGGAGGCTTTTGTGGCAAAAATAAATGATTGGCTGAGAATGATTCCCCCATTCTCAACCTTTTTTTTTCTCAATTGAACCCTCCCATATATATATATATATATATATATATATATATATATATATATATATATATATATATATATATATATATATATATATATATATATATATATATATATATATATATATATATATGGTTAATTTAGATGAGAGTTTAAGATTTGAGAAAAAATAATGGAAAAGAAGAAAGCTCAAAAGAGCCCATCGACAAATTTGTTAAAAGTTTTAGTTAAATTAAGAGAA